GGGCAGTGTCGCGCGCGATGTGGGCGCCAGCTGGTGTAGGGCGGGGGTCAGACCTCGGAGCCGGCCCTGGGGATGTGAGTTCGAGGTGTCGCCCTGCGTTTGAGGGGACTTCTGCTGTAAGGCTGAGCAAACTGGTGACCCACGGGGAGCACGTCTGCAAGTCTGTACACCACGTCGTGGTTTACATGTGGCCATTTATGTGACCCAAATATGGTCTGGGCTCCTGGCCCGTCCTCCCCGTCCCTACGCACCCACACACTCGGGGACCTCAGGCCCAGCTGTTCTCTGCTCAGGCCACCCACCTGGCCACCTGGCCTCTGGAGCCTGCGGGTACAGCTGGGTGTGAACAAGTTGGGCGGAAGATGGTGCAGGGCAGACAGCAGCGGAGGGGCGTGGCAGAGAGACCCAGAGACACAAATGGTCCCAACAACATTTCAGACAGCAGTAATCATACCACAATACTTCCAAAGTGCCCAGCGTGTGCCTGGCCTCTGCCCCTCACACCCTGGAGACTGTACCAAACTCCCCAGGCCACATCAACAAGAGCCTCCTGGCTCCTCTTCTTGAAGGTTCAGTGCTCCCTGTTCTCGGCCACCTTGGAATCCTGGGTTTCCCACAATTTACGATGGTGACATCGGGATGGGCCTGGGGAGCATGGAGTCCACTGGGGCCTCAGTGCAGCAGGATGCTTTTCCAATTTTGGAGCTGATCCCTTCCATCCTGGGGGCCTCCCAAACCGTGAGAGCATCTCAACCTACTCATGGCTCCTGGACAGCCCCTCCATGTTTGTGTTTCTAAGAAAGAATTAATGACCATCTCCTGCTGACAGGGACTGTTGGGGGCTGCTGGGGTATCAGATTGACCAAGGCAGATCCAGTCTTGTCCTCACTGAGCTCATGGTTTGAAGAGGCCATAGACAGCAAAATACATAGACAAACAAATTAATATATAACTTCAAAGAGTGGTAAATGCTATTAGGAAAAATAAAAATGATTGAGAGCAATTGGTTATCTCCCAGGGCCACTGATGCCTCATCATCTGCCCATTCCTGCACCTGCCCCCTCCCCAAGTGTAGAAACAGAGGATCCCTGAAGGCACAGCCTACCCTCTGCTGTTGGCAGACACCATGTCCAGACCCGTTCCTGTACCTTAGCTGCCCAGCCTGGCCCGTGTCCCCCAGTCCTGTGGCCAAGGGCCACATTACTTCCTAGCCACACTGAGGAAGGGCTCCCAACTGTCTTGACCTGGCCTTGGCCTCTGACAGTCCAAGGGGATTCTCCCCTGGTTGGGAAATGAAGCAGGAATGAGACCCTGTGTTCTCACCAAGGGTGTGCCGGGGCTGGACAGCTTGACCTTGGCCAGGACCTGACCCCACCATGGCTCGGCCACCCCATCCTGGGCTGTACAAATAAAAGGGCCATTGTCAGCCTGGTGTGGGTTCGAAACGGTGGCCAGCAGCCAGCAGACTCCTGCTCCCCTTCCGGATATGTCTCCCCAACCCAGAGGCTGTGCACTGGGTGACCTCAGCAAGTCGCTGGCCCTCTTGGGGGGTCCTCTTGTTAATATCTCCCATTTGTTTTCCCCAGTTCATCCTGACCCAGCCTTGCAACCCGCTTCCCACCCCAGGTGCCTGCCGTAAGGCTCCTCTGTAGCTCAGACCCCCACCACGACTCCCTGTGGCCCCTGTTCACCACCCCTGGTGGATAGACAGTGACAGTCCAAAGTAATCAGAGCTGTGATGGAGGATGCTGGACCTGACCCAGCCTGGGGAGATCAAGGCAGACTTCTCAGAAAAGGACTTTTTTTTAAAGTTTGGTTTTTTAAAAATTTTATATATTTATTACTTTGGGGGGGAAGGGAAGAGGTAATTAGGTTCCTATTTATTTATTTTTAATGGAGGTACTAAGGATTGAACCCAAGACCTTGTGCATGCTAGGCATGTGCTCTGCCACTGAGCTAGACCCTCCCCCCTCAGAAGAGGACATTTAGATTGACGTAGACTGAACTGTGTGGGGAGGGGACATGGGAAAGGAAGTAATAGGCTGTTTGTGCCACAAGTAAGAGAAAGCCTGAATACAGACCCCCTGAGATGTTTGGGTCCTAGTCCCGGGACCCTGTGAATATGTCACTACTGTTCAGGGCAGAAGGACTTGGCAGCTAGGATTACGCTGAGGACATTTGGGTGGGAAAAGGATCATGGGTTCCCTGGGTGGGCCCAGTGTCATCACAGGATCCTTGAAAGTGGAAACCTTTCCCTCTATGGTCGGCGAGATGTAACAGGAGGACTTGACCTGCCGTTTTTGGCTTTGAAGATGGAGGAAGGGGCCTCCAGCCAAGGAATGTGGGCGGCCTCTCGAAGCTGGAAAAGGCCAGGAACAGATTCTCCCCTGGAGCCTCCAGGAAGGAACACAGCTCCGCCAATACCTTGATTTTAGCTCAGGGAGACCCACGTTGGACTCCTGACCCCCAAAACTGGAAGAGAAAAATGTGTGTTGTTTTAAGCCACCAAATTGGTGTCGATTTGTTACAGCAGCAAGTACAAAGGGGCTCTGTACGCGGGGTTCAGTGTCGTAGTGCTGTGGTCCCTGCCTGGCTGCAGACAAACAGGGGAGTGAACACAAATATGAAAACAGTGGCAGGACAGAGACCCTGGGAGCAGGAAGGTTGCGGGGCCTCTGAGGAGGTGACTCTGAAGCCTGGAGGGAGAAGGAAGCATCTAGGGGAAGCCCAGTCCAGGTGGTGCCAGCTCAGCCGTGTCACATGTGACCTTTCTGTGCCTCCATTCTCTCGTCTGTAAAATGGGCACAGTTCCCAGAAGTGCAGATTCCAGTCAGGATGCCAGTGACAGTGCCCAGTGCACAGGGGGGCCTGACATGGGTGCAGAGAGTCTTATTAATGAAGGAATGGGTAGGTAATTTGCCACTCACCATACCACGATGCTGTGAGCAGGCATCCACTTTACTGAGGGGGCAGCTGAGGCTGAAGGGAAGAAAATGGCTTTCCGAGGGTCGCAAAGCCCCACAGGGTCGGGAATGGAGTCCACACCAGGTAAACAAGATTCCAGGACCCATGTGCTGAACCCTGGGGCAGGGATGCCCCCCTCTCTGAATGGGACAATCAGAGGGAGCCCTCAGGTTGTGGCTGGCAGCACCCTTCCTGGTCCCAGCACCAAATTTTCCTTCGGGGAATTGCCTCCTGCACTCCCAGCTCCAATGTGCCCCAGAGCAGGAGCCTACCCAGGCCCAGCCAGTCAGAGTCATCTGACATTCAGCACACCAGGAAGAGTCAGCTCTGAGACTTTTGCTGGGAAAGGGACATCCACTTCCTGCTTGAGCTGGAGGGGTGTGAGTCTGGAGCTGCAGGTGGCTCCTGCCAATGGCCGGGGAGGGGCCAGCCCAGTGGGACACTGAGCCAAGAGAGACAGCAGCAATTCCCTGTGCTGTTATTGGATATCCTGGATTCAGCTCTGCCTGAACTCCTCCTTCTCAATAAGATAAATCTGGTTTAAGTGGCATTTCTGTCACTTGCAGTGGACAAAACCAGCTTACAATAACTCTGTTTACATTTTATTCAAGCAAAGACTTTAGGACCCAGAGCAGGGGTGCTGCAGGGGCTGCAGGAATCATGCACACCGTGATATGCCAAGCACTGCCCCCAGGATACGGGTCATGACCTGGTCCAGAATGCTCAGGCTCACCTGATCCCACATTCCTCAAGCCAGAAGGATGCTTGTGACAGACTCCGTGTCAACTTACTACCTACAGTCCTTGGACTCGTACCTAAAACTCTCCAGGCTCTGGGAAGGCTCTGGGCCCCGCCCTCAGCCCAGAGGTGAATCCTGATTGGCGGAACAGAGCCGAAGTGACGTCAGGCATGAGCATGTGATCCAGCTCCGGCCAATGACAGGAGGGGTACTCTGAGGAGGTGGGGCTTGGAGGAAAGTCACAAATGCGGAGGCGGACTGTCTGCAGGTGACCCAGGATAACTCGGTGTATCGGTCTGCCGTTAGCTGCTCTAACACACTGCCACAAATTTAGCGGCTAGAACAGCGCATTTATTACCGTACCTTTCAGATGATCTGGGCCAAAATCAAACGTGTTTGGGGGCCTTTAGTCGGCAGATCACAGTACTCGATGCTGTTGAGTGCCTGGCGGGCTTTGCAGACATTTGTGGCCGCGTCCTGCCTGGCTGTGTTCTTGCCCCTGGCATACAGTCGATGCTGCATCAGCACCCGTGATGGAGTAATTGGTGGTCTCCGTCCCCGCCAGGAGGAGAGGTGGAGAGATCCCACCCCTTTTCCCGGGGGTGGGGGTGCAGCCCTGGTCAAGCCCTCAAAGCTGCCACCACCTTGTGCCACTTCCCTGGACCTCAGTTTCCCCGTCTGTGAAATGGAGAGAATCGTGGTCATTTCCACCAGGGGTGGCTGGGTAAGTGAATGTGTCTGTGGTGACGCGTGGCAGCCTCCGTTCAGCACCGCGAGGCCCCAAGAGGGCAGGTGTCCCCTTGGATGTGAGAACCAGCGGCCACCGGACCCCTCCTCCCCCGTCCATGACACACAGGGTGGGCCTGTGGCTGGTGG